ATGTCTGGCGTAAAAGTAACACTGCATTTCAGAAAAAGAACATCATACCAACAGTAAAATATGGTGGTGGTAGTGTGATGTCTGGGGCTGTTTTGCTGCTTCAGGACCTGGAAGACTTGCTGTGATTAAATGGAACCATGAATTCTGCTGTTTACCAAAAAATCCTGAAGGAGAATGTCCGGCCATCTGTTCGTGACCTCAAGCTGAAGCGAACTTGGGTTCTACAGCAGGACAATGATCCAAAATACACCAAGTCCACCTCTGAATGGCTGAAGAAAAACAAAATGAAGACTTTGGAGTGGCCTAGTCAAAGTCCTGACCTGAATCCTATTGAGATGCTGTGGCATGACCTTAAAAAGGCGGTTCATGCTCGAAAACCCTCCAATGTGGCTGAATTACAACAATTCTGCTTAGATGAGTGCACCAAAATTCCTCCACAGCGCTGTAACAGACTAATTGCAAGTTATCGCAAACGCTTGATTGCAGTTGTTGCTGCTAAGGGTGGTCCAACCAGTTATTAGGTTTAGGGGGCAAACACTTTTTCACACAGGGCCATGTAGTTTTGGATTTAGTTTTCCCTTAATAATAACAACCTTCATTTAAAAACTGCATCTTGTGTTCACTTGTGTTATCTTTTACTAATATTTAAATTTGTTTGATGATCTGAAACATTAAAGTGTGACAAACATGCAAAAAAATAAGAAATCTGGAAGGGGTCCAACACTTTTTCACACCACTGTATATATATATATATATATCGACCGAATAGTCTGGCATTACATCACATGTGTGTGCAAGAATATAAACCGACTAATGAAAGATGTTCAACACTGTTAAATCTACTTTAAACCATTATGGCATTAACCTAATTCTACATCACAATAGCTTTGTTTTGATTGATTTATAGTCCGAATTGTCAAAAGCACAGGCATCTTTGTTCAATTCTCAGGAACAGCAATCCTGTAAAGAGAAGCTCATTTATCAGTAAATAATGGAGAAACACATCAGTAGTGGCTAATTTATTTATAAATCAAATCCAGATGGGACATTTGCTGTAAATTAATTACTATCAAAGCTCAACAAGTGTGAATTATCACCTACAAATGAAACTCAGTCAACATGCTATCTTTTGTATGGTTAAAACACCAGAAGACTGTAGCAACATCAACAAAATGTCTTTGATGTTTGGTGAGAAACTGACTGGATTTTGACAGCGAAAAAAATACATAAGAGTGGGGTCCAAAAAACTAAGACGACATTGAAATGTGGGATGCAAAATTAAATTTAAATACGAAACTAAAAATATCCTAAAAAGCTTTAGGTTGTTGAAAATTCAAAAACAATGTAACATTTAAATATGATAATATCAAATATTTAAAAATTATTCTTAAAATTATCTTAATAATAACAAATGTATAGTATATTATTATTAAATATTTTTATTATTTAAAAGAAAATATAAAATCTGTGATCATGTGAAAATTCTTAAAATATGACGAAAATATTTTTCCTAAAAAAAGATAAGGTATTATTGTTGTTGTTATTATTATTATTTATTATATAGTTTTTTAATCAAATAAAAGCACATTTCGATAAAGTGTTCATGTGAACATGATCATCAGTCCATAAACGATTAAATGTGATTATTTTATCCCACTGACAGCCCAAGTATAAACACATGCTCAAATAGCTGTTCATCTAACCCTTCTCTACTCAACCTGACAATGAGGCAAATAATAAACGAGAGAATCAGAGATGGAGCTGAGGCGTGGAGATCCTTTGAAAGAGAGCGCGGAATAGTGAGAATGGGGGGTGAGTAACAGAACGTTCTCGTTTCGTGGGCGCTGAGGTGTGGTGAATCCGCTGGCCTGTGAAATTCGGTTACAGCAGAGGCTGCTCCACTGGAGGGCTAATTACTCCGATAGTCTCGGGGGTAAGTGACGGCTGGGACGCTTTCCAGTGATGCATGCATGTGTGGGAAGTCACATGTAAACGACACACGCTTCTTCACGGAGCCCAGCGGCCGTGACACACGCAACATGCGGGAGGTTGTCGGTACCTGAAAGTCCACCATGGAGAGGATCTCTTTGCGCCATTTGATGAGGAAGGCAGAGCACACGTACAGGTGAAAATGGGAGAATCCCTCCGACTCCGCCTGAAGATCAAGAGCAGACACAGAGCAGAACACACATGCTTGCATTAGTAAGTAGACATTAAGCAGATGATTATCCAAAGTGACATTCAGCACACTTATTAGAGACTCAGCCCCTGGGGTTAAATGCCTTTCTCAAAAGGCAAAATAATGATGGCTTTGAGGTTTGCTCCTTGCAGGGACTGAACCAGCAACCTTTCAGTTACCAGTTTTAAGCTCTAAAGCAATAGTTCACCCAAAATGAAAAATTCTGCCATCATTTAATCGCCCTTGCGATGCTCCAAACCAATGCAAGTATATAAGTGAGGTTCCTTTTAAAGGGATAGTTCACCCAAAAATTAAAATTGTATGTTTATCTGCTTACCCCCAGGGCATCCAAGATGTAGGTGACTTTGTTTCTTCAGTAGAACACAAATTATGATTTTTAAGTCCAGCCGTTGCAGTCTATCAGTCGTATAATGCATGGCAATAGTAACAAAATCTATGAGAGTAAAAAAAACATGCAGACAAATCCAAACTAAACCCTGTGGCTCGTGACGACACAATGATGTCCTAAGACACGAAACGATCGGTTTGTGCCAGAAACCGAACAGTATTTATATAATTTTTTTACCTCTAATACAGCACTATGTCCAACTTCCTTGAGCGCGCGCACGGCATCCGATGCGTTAGGTGTGTACGCGCTCTGGTGTAGTTTACGCAAGCGCCGGAAGTGATCTCTCGCACGTATACGTCACTCATTGTTTACACAGTGCACAGTCATTGTAGGTACGACAGCTAATCAAAATGGTACTTACTTGCGCTTATCCGGATTATTCAAACCGACTTAAAACTTAAAGATTACGTTCTCTCGCGCAAACTCATTCGGGAGTGCTGACTTTTCACGTATTCTCAACTTCTGAACCTGCTCGCCTGAAGTTATGGTTGATTGCTCTTCGGCTGGATATCAACACACCCATTAATGACAGAGCCCGAAAGGGGAACAGAGTCGCGTGACAGACACAGTGATGAAGCTGGTATGTGTTTGCAGTACACAAGCCACGGTTAAGACAGCTGACTCCACTGTGATGTGACCCCCCCGCTCGCTCGCTCACTCACTCACACTCTCTCTCTCTCTCTTTGCTGTTCTGTTGTAAGTAATCTTAAAGATTCCTAAATCAATCTACTTTCGGAAGGCCAAATAAAGTGCTTTTGCTTTCGCCGAAACACACAGCGTCTCCCTGACATGCTTCTTCAACACTAACTGCGGTTACTGAAACCACGCCTTCTTTCTTTGCGTGAACATTTGGGCGGCATTATGCAAATATTTCCACATAGTGAGGTAGATATGTGGGGGCATGTTAGAACGAGCCGTTTTAGGGGGGCGTGGCAGAGTCTTAACTTTGATAAATAATATCTCTTTGGTTTTGAGACTTTAGTCTTTGCAACTTCAGGGATCTTATCTATGCACAATCAGCTTGTAACACTCCAAAGAGAAAGGAAAACTTGAAATCGCATCATGTGTCCCCTTTAAAAATCATAATTTGTGTTCTACTGAAGAAACAAAGTCACCTACATCTTGGATGCCCTGGGGGTAAGCAGATAAACATCACATTTTCATTTTGGGGTGAACTATCCCTTTAAAGCTTTTTTGTCATACTGAACATACCAAGTTTTTTCCTCACCAAAGTCATCTTTGGCTTGATTCGGCCTGCTCATAATTAATGATTTTCTGTTAGCTGTTAGTGTTTTTAATTTTTTTTTAGTTGATAAAAAAACAACATGAAAGTGTCAAAAGTATGTACCATATGTGCCATATTTAGAGTCTCCTGAATTAATACCACAGCTTAGAAGAAATTCTGACAAAAATACTGAAATTGAAGTCAACAATATTAACCATATTTTGAGAACCAATGATATCAAATCTGGTCATTTTTTAACACCAACATGAAAAAAAGATTTGGGAGCTGAAAAAAAGGAAAGATTTTCAACAAATAATGATTATAATTTCACCAGTGCTGTTAATGTTAACTAAAACTATTAAAAATCTAAATAAAGTTGATATATGAAAAACTTAAACAAAAAAAGAAAAACCTTACAAAATTAGAAAAGTTACTTTGGCAATTAAGTTGAAGTGCTAAAATTAATAAAAAAAATTAAATAAAGCTGAATATTGGCTAAAATATTTAAACTGATAAAATTGACAAATGCACATAATATGACTAAAACTTAATGTAAAATTAAAATGAAAACTGAAAATGTAAAAGCTAATTTAGAATATTAATAAACACTATATTATTACATAAATAATATTATAAAACAGATAGTTCCGGTCCTTGATTCTGATTGGTTGAGCCGCGTTCAAGGCACATTCACACCAAGCACGATAACTGTAAAGATAACGATAAAGATATAGTTCTAAAAATCGTTCTCAATATTAAAGAATAGCAGTTCGCACCACAACTATAACGAGGCACAGAGAAACAATATCGTTGGAATCACTTCCAGAACAATTTTTTCCAGCTGATGAACGATACAAACATTGACAGCCAATCAGAATCCATCCTGCTATAACGAGCTCGAGAATTTAAAGCGGCAGACGCACGTGAGCTTAGAATAAACAGACGATATCGTTCACTGGTGTGGACACTAATATAGTTATCTTTATAGTTATCGTTCTTGGTGTGAACGGGGCTTTACTCTACAAACATACACCTTTGTTTACTTTGTGTGCTGCTCGGCAACCACTTTGTTGCAACCACCACTGTTTCTGAGGAACTACATTGTTTGGTGGAAGAATACTGTTTTTATTAATATCATTACACTTTATTTGCTCTGTTTTATTTTGTGAACGCTAACTACGTATATGGAATAACTGTTTTATAAAAGCAATAAGCCCCGTGAAGCCATGGTTTACAGTGAATTTATAACAGCTTCGCGTCGTGCCTAACAACGCCCCTTAGCTGTTATAAATTCACTGTAAACCACGGCTTCACGGGGCTTATTGCTTTATTAAAATAACACCGTTTCTCCCACAAAGGTAACTTATGACTTCAGAAGACTTGTCAATATGAATGGTTGCTGTATAGCCAAGATCTGCAAGAAGATTCTTCTGTCTTTATTGGTTAGAAAAGCAGAGCAAACACAAAGACATTATGAAGGAGGGGATAAAAGGTATCAGGTCACAGCGCGAAATGTATATCCAAGTAAAAGCTGGGATATACTTTTCGATTTTGTTGGCTTTGCATTGGCTCCAATGACTGCACATTCCCTCAGCCAGAAATAAAAACAACGATTTACTTCCATCATGAGTAATAAGAGTTTTAAGACAACACATATTATTCGTTAAATTATTCAGCTACAGTAGAGCACCTGCACACAGAGCTCCTAATGTAGTTTTACCATCGATCTAATTTATTGGACTGGGAATTAGGTCGTGTTAGTTATTCCCATCGTATCTAGAGAAGACACCACCCACCACCTCATTCGTCCTCCTCTCTCCCCAGCATCCCCCTCTACTTGTGCTGTGTACAGTGTGGTACATTCAGCCACTTGAGAGGCAGCCAGCGGTTATAAATAGCTTTATTTACTTCATTTCTCTTGGTCCCTCTTGAAGTGAGAAAAGATGGAATGAGGAAGGAGGAAAAAGTTGGATTTTTATGAAGGCACAAAGAAATTGCAAGAACCAGGAGCAAATCTAGGAGTTGAGTTTATCGCTTCTCAAATTATGAAATGTGTTAGTCCAGAGATGTTTCTTGCTTGAAGTGTGACGAGTCGCCGGGTTCAAATCTCACTTGACAATTAATCTTTCTGAAAGTAACAACTCATTAAAATTGCCAGTAGATACACTGTGTATCAGGAACTAAAGAGCACTTCTGAAAATAGCAAGAGTGACACTGTTAAGACAAGATGTTTCTAAAAAGTAAAAATTAAAATCTTTAAAACTAAAAATAACTATATAGAGTATATACACATATACATACATATATATACCACCATATATGGGGGTTTGAAACTTTTGAACAGAATGAAGATGTCCAAATTTTTCATATTTTGTTGAAATATAATTTGTTTTAATTTAGTACTGCCCTTCGGAAGCAACAGAAGATACTTGCATGTTTCCCGGAAGACAAATTAAGTACAATTTACCTTGATCTTCAAATTCAAAAAGTTATATGGCGTGATATGCATCGTGTTTCCTTCTGGAGCATCAGTGAATGATTAAACCTTTTTTAATAGCTGTGTTTGAGTCCCTTAATTGTCCTCCGTGTGAGAAGATGGATCTCAAAATCATACAGTCACTGCTGGAAAGGGTTCAAATATGCAAAAGATGCTGGAAAACTGAAGAATCTGCAGGACATGGAGGATTTTTCTGAGGAACAATGCTCAGTTTAACTGTTCAGAACAAACAAGTGACACATGAACAACCATCACAGCAAAACAAAAAAAACAGTGGTGGATCATCCAAGTAACCACATACAGTATTAAGAACCAAGGGTTCCCAAACTTTTGAAGGAGGTTATTTTAATAATTTCAGCAATCTTTTTGTCTTGTGGACTATATGTAAATATCTTAATGTAAAATATATTACTTAGGACAGTACTAAATAAAAAAAAAAGAACATGCATTTTGTATGATCTCTCTTATTTTGTTAAAATTATTCACATTTTCTGCAAGAGGTTCCCAAACTTTCGCATGCCACTGTATACACACACACACACACACACACACACACACACAAACACACACACACGTTAAACAAAAAGATAAAAATACAGAAATGCAGCAAAAATATTCTAAAATATTAAAATTTAAAATAACAGCTTTCTATTTGAATATATTTTTAAAATGTAATTTATTCCTGTGATGCAAAGCTAAATTTTTAGCATCATTACTCCAGTCTTCAGTGTCACATGATCCTTCAGAAATTATTCTAATATGGTGAGCTGCTGATCAATAAAAATGTCTTTGAAAGTTGAGCTTTTAATAAAAAAAATTTTTTTAGGATTCTTTGATGAATAGAG